AGTACCTCAGCCTTCTCCATATCCTGGATAAGCAGGTCGCTTATTCTCCCTTGTCCTCCTTTTCTCACTAACACACCTATAGAAGCTTTTCTTGTTGTCCTTAACATCCCTGGCCAGATTTATTTCTATCAGGGCTTTGGCTTTCCTAACCTGATCCCTGGCTGCTCGGACAGTTTCTCTGTATTCCTCCCAGGCTACCTGGCCTTGCTTCCACCCTATGTAGGCTTCCTTTTTTTGTTTGTCTTTGCCCAGGAGCTCCTTGTTGATCCATGGGGGCCTCTTGGTGGTTTTGCCTGACTTCTTCTTTGTTGGGATGCATCGCTCCTGATCTTGGAGGAGGTGACTCTTGAATATTAGCCAGCTTTCTTGGGCCCGTCTTCCTTCCAGGGCTTTGTCCCATGGTATTCTACCAAGCAGATCCCTGAAGAGGCCAAAGTCTGCTCTGAGAAGTCAAAGTCTGATCTTAGAGGTCTTTTCCAACCTTAAAGATTCTATGATTCTATGGTGCAAGCAGTCGCATGATAATGCTAACCATGCTTGGACCTGACAGGGCAAGTGTCTGATACCTGTGTAGCTGTATAGTAAGAGACTGTGCTAGCATCAAATCTAGCTGAGCAGCTTAGGCTTATTATGTATTAACACATCCAAGTGTCTTCAAGAACACCACCACCTACACAATCAGGAAATAAGGTATCTCTTATAAACTTTAAATCATCATTTGCTTCTTGTTCTATTTTTTCATGTTACTTTTGCTCATTTTCCTTCAGTACTCTCAGATTTTTTCAAAATATGTTGCACTTTCAGATTTATTTATAAATCCAAAACATGGATTAATACTTACGAAAAAACCTGATAAATCTCTTTGGATCTTCCTTCACGCAATCGCAGTGTCCAAGCACCTGGATTTGCTTTCAGCTGAAAATACCCCTAAGAAAAACAAGACAGACAGTCACTTGTTCAGTATTTCAGAATCAACCATGTACACAGACAAGCAGCAATTATCCAACATTTGGTACTGCGGCCAAGGTTAGTAACCATGACCTACTGTCAAACTAGCCCTGAAAGGATTATGGCAATGATGCAACCAAATATCACCTTTCCTGTATGTCCATATTAATGCCTTTCAGTGCTGCATTTGTTTCGAGCTGAATTTGAATTGTATACAAAATCTCCACCCAGAACATTAAGTAAGTAAGCAGTAAAGAAATAAATTATTAAACTGGCCCTAAACTAAAAAGCTTCGTCGGAACATAAAAGTTTTGTCTGGAACAACATTCCAATTCAACACAGCTCCTTCCCAATTTAGGAACACTGCATACAGCTATCACTATGTGAAAGCCAGTCAAAGCAAGCTTTGGAATGTGAAGGATCATTAGAAGTTTCATCACGTTGAACATCATCTACTGTTGAGTAAAAATCAAAGACTCACAGTTTATTAAGCATTTTACTCCTTGTGATACAATATATACAGAGAACAGCAGATAGGTAACCGATCTTATGCATCAAAATTAATCTTTCCCGATAAAATTACCTTAGCCAACAGAAAAGAAATCTTTTGTTTCAGAATCACAAGATCTTCTGCTCTATAGCCTGCTAAACCCAAAAATAATCACTTTGGATGACTAGAGGAATTCTGAGGTGTGGAGTTGTCCCACAGAGGCTTTAAGCACTTAACTCAAGCATCTAAACTAGGAACCTTCTTTCACCTTGTTAATTGTGTAACAAAATTGGTTAATCAGAATGTGATTCACACCTTACAATTGTTGGTGGAATCTCCATCTGAATATATATACCTCCTACCATCGACTTAAGGTAATTAGAGTCTCAGTTTAGGCACTTCAGATAAGGATCTAAAATTAGGCTATATCCAAACCTATGCTGGATGAGAAGAGGAAGGGGGGGAAAGCTCAGCAAATTAGAGATGCACATCATCTTTTGCAGATGGTCTCAACTCCAGGACACTCCTGTTACTTTTAGTGTTATTAAGCTTGCAACACAGAGAAATGGATTTAAAGAACAGCAAGCTCATAAAGAATTCTAATGAAGAGTGTGCAATTGTAATGACTATTTCTCTACTTAAATACTTACCAGGTTGGCCATGACAATAGTATCAACCATGACAGGATTATTCTTTGTGCCCAGAGTGAACTGTAGCCCTCGAGGAGGTTGTCCAGTCATCACATCAAAGCAATGTCCTTCAAGCAATATATATTCTAGTTCATATTCTGCTACAACTGTCCCTTTTATCTGTGGAAGGAACACTTCATCAATAAATTATGTTGTTTAACTATGTGGGAAAAGCAACATATTACAACAGCAAACATGTGTGATTTACCTCACCTAAATTCAACTGCCAAAAAAAAAAAAAAAGGAAAAAAAAAAGAGAAAGGCCCTTCCAGAAGGAACTTCACTCAATTTTAAAATAGGTATCCAAGGTAAAGAGGATGAATTGCTGTTTGGAAGGATCTTCTCTCCATTGACTGCTGAGGAAGCTGAGGCACCTCAAATTTGGTAAGGTAAATCCTAACTTTCATTTTCACAATACTCCAAATATACAGCTTTGGTGGATCAAACACCCTCAATATTTTTCACAGGTTTAGTGACTGAAACAAATCTAGTGATTTTGGAGCTGAGGGATTAAAAATATAATTAAAAAAAAAGTGAAGTAAAAAAGGGTCAAATATGTTTTAATCTATATAGAATAAATAAACAGCAACATATTGAGGTTTATTTGAAGATTTAAGAAGGTTAAATCTATTATTACCAAAAATATGTACAAAATAAAGAAAGGTAGAAAGCTAGCACACAGAATCCCTTAATTGCTTTATTTTTATCTAAAAACCCAAGAATTATAAAGCTCAACAGAGCAGATAAATTGCTCTTACTTGTATTCTGCATTCTGATTTTTCTTCTGTTTCATTGCTTTCTTTTAAGACGGGTTTTTTTTAAAGTAAGAGGGAATGCAAAAAAAGATGATGAAATTAATAATGGTAAAATACTGACCAAATAATCAATTACCACAGAAAGCATTTCTGGAAAACAAGAGACAAACCACAAAATTTCCATTTCCCTCTTGAGGTAGAAGGTCCAACACAAGTTTTATAATGTTTACAAACTTTTACTTACATCCTGTAAATAAATGTTATCAAGATCACAGGAACTGTTTACTGCTTCAACCAACCAGCTTTCAGGAGTGATCATGTTTAGAGTCAAAAGGGCTGATTCTGGCAGTTGTAGGAATTTTGCCACAGGTTCAGAAGGAAGGTGCTTGTTGATCCCGTAAGTTATTTCTGGCTCCAGAACAAAACGATAGAAGCTGTTGAAAAAAGAAGTGTTCAAAAAAATATGTTTACTGAGGCATAAACTTCCAAATATGAAGTTCTTCTAAAATACTTCAAAATATAGTGAATGTTTATCAACTTAATGATGTTTGGAGGCACAGGACATTTAATTACTATAAAAGGACATTTAATTACTATAAAAAGTTTCTCCTGTACCCATCAGAAGGAACACAATTCCTACAAAGTATTTGTGTTAGTATATGAATGCATTTCATATGAAACCACTGCTCTAAGAAAAATACGATCTCTCCGCAGGACAGATCATAGAGTCTTAGAACGGTTTGGGTTGGAAGGGACATCAAAGATCATCTAGTTCCAACCCCCCTGCCATGGGCAGGGACACCCTCCACTAGACCATGTTGCCCAAAGCCTCATTCAACCTGGCCTTGAACACTTCCAGGGGGGGCATCCACAGCTTCTCTAAATGATGCTGAAAAGCTTTTTTCTCTCGCCTTTCCCAGGCACAGGGAAAGAACCAGGCACTAACATGTGCAGACTACCAGCTCTCGCTCATAGTAAGATTATAGGTATGGTATCTGCCAAAGGGATGGCAGCACTTAAACCTTTCTCTGAGAGGGAAAGGGACCCTCTCTGGGCAGTTCACTTCAGTGTAAATGTCTATAACCAAATTAGTGAATCCTGGTCCTTTACAGACAGTTAATAAGAAACTTCAGTTTTAGGCAGGTACTTTCAGGGTATAACATTCTCAACGAATTATAATGGGATCTCAAATTCAGACTGTACATTTACTCAGATGAATTTCAGTGTATTTAATCTGTAATATTCATTACACAGTATGTGGGCTGTAAGAAGTGACCAAGTTAGGTGGACGCTCTCCCTCTCCAAGTTTTCACAGACATGAAAGACTCTCCATTGATTTCTCTAAGGATTGTTTAGGAGAGGTGCATCTGATGGACTCCATCAGTTCCCTGTGATCCCATGCTTGACACCTTAGAATTAGAATTTTTCTCTAGACAAATGCAAACTGCTTTGGTAACATTCAATTTACATTCAAAGAAAATAACTAATGTAACACAAGAATCCAGAAACACAAACCATTTTTTATTTTTTAAGGGAATATAGGCTGTGAAGGCTCTTTTTTATAAACCAAGTGAGATCATATGTTTGTAAGAAAAGCTGTAAACTACTTACCTCTTCAGTGGTGCTTCTGATAGCTTAGATCTGCAGTTCAAAAACAACCTGAGTTTCACATTGATAATCTCTTTGAGTACCTACAGAAAAAAAATCTGTGTAAAAAATGGTTCTTGGTAATCATCAAACTTTGCAAATAAGCCAAAGTCATCCTTGTGACATCCTGTCATTTCTCAAGCTTCAGTAGAAATCTCAAACATTTTAAAGTTCTAAATGTACCTGTATATTAAGGGATGTTGTCAGATATTGCAAATAAAGATCCGACCTTTTCTAAAACTGCATGATTTAGCACACGATATTCTTGAGAGTCGAAACATTAATGTTTTCCCCTAGTGATAAGGTTTTTTTTAAAGAGCACCTACCCCCATTTTTATAATTTGAGTAAATTATATTATGACCTTTCTTTTATTGTGTTTTCTAGAAGATTTTAAAGTACTTGAAAGTTTGCAAGTTTGTAAGTACATGTGCCTTTTATTCAATAACCAATCTTAAAACAGTGACTTTCACTCTTATTAAAATTGTTCCATACAGTAAATTGTTGGATATAGTAAAGCTCAGGTAATTATTTTAATACTTAATTACTTAATAATTTTAAATGTCAGTAATAGATTAATGATGTGTAAAACTATTCAATCAACTTCAAAACATTCCAGTAAGTTAAAATATTTCTACTTCTTTCTCACTTTCTTCATCTGTTCATTTCTAAAATACTGGTTTCCTGGATGCTGTTACATAGGAACCATAATATTAGGACAGGATTTTTTTTAATTTTTGTGAGTAATCTACTTTGTTTAAAGTTAACAAAACTTCAAGAGTGCTTCTTTAAAGCACTCTTAAAAACCTTTAACAAGTTATCTTCATTTCTGTGGTTTCTGATCCAAAGTGCTTATTTGAAAGCATAAAGCAGCTGTGTCTACCTTTATGGATGTTATTAGAAAAGCAAATAAGATATTAAAGCCCAGCTACAATACAGATATCACTAAGGCTAACATCTAAAAGTACTATAATGGCAAGTAAATTGGGAACAAAGCAAGACAACAGCCATCCTTATATCTCTCTTTTATTATAACCATTTTTTTCTTTCCTCACTTTAAGGATGGAATAAGAGTTTCTCCCTGAAGACAGAATGAACAAAATTAAAAAAGGAAAAAGATAATTAATAGGAAAAAAGAAACGGTTTGATTTTTTTCTCTCTGTATTTTTGAGTTCTTTGACAAGTTACCGGAACAAGAAAAAAAAAAAAAGTAGATGATCCTAAGAGTTACATACTGCTGGAGTAAAGCAGTTAGTCTAGGGTACACGTAGTGTGTTCAGTGGCACCATGTATAATATTTTTTCAGCTGGTTTTGGTGAACCATGAGTAAAAAACCCCAACTCTTCCATTTGGTCCTCATTTTTAGGAGGAATTTCTACTTTTTTCACATCACCTTAGGGACCATCTTTATAACTTTAGGACATGTTAGCTGTTCCATGTATTCTGCCGAGAACTGATATGGTCCAACCCTTGTCAAGCCAGGGCTAGCATTTAAAGATCTACTGTAGACAGTGACTCTTGTCTTGTTTGGAAATAATCGTCGCTAAAGTCTATGACAAAACTTTTTGAAAAAGGCAAAAGACACATTATATGGAAAGTTCTGCCTGCCTCTCTCTACAGACCATATAGAGCAGTTCTTATGACACAATACAGTATATTTTTTAAAAACAGATAAAAGCCTTGAGTCTGCTCTCATTCATGCTCTGACTCATACCTTGCCCCTGGCCCTAAATTGCCACTTTCTCAGACTAAATAGTAAAGTTAGATTACAGTTTGCCTATAGTTGTTCACACCTTCTGAATTTCAATTCCATTTAATATGACTTCTGGTTTATATTTTTTTAAAAAATTACCAAAATATTCCTTTGAAGTTACTAGTAAGTGACACAAAGTAATATAATAGCATGCTTTCACCAGGGTAAAAAAAAAATCATAAGGTGGATGCATTCAACATGGACAGGGAAAGAAACCTGTGCTTTGCTGTGGTAGTTACTACACAAATTTTGCACCATGAATAGCTACCACAGTTTCATCTACATTAAAACATTTCTGATTTGTTTAGTTTCAACAGCATTTCATTATTCTTTCCAAAGGGCTGGCTTCTTGAAGAAGACTATAGCTCCTATGAATCAAGTAAGATCTGCGACAGCTGCACAGCTGGGTACACCATGGGAGTCGTTTGCCTAGGCGTGCATTACGGGAGAGATTGCTCATTAGGGAGTCTGTTGTGCTAGGACGAAGGGAGGCTTCTGATCTGAGTCCTTGGTGTAACTTAAACATAATATGAACTTCTGGCTGAATGGAGAGATTTTCCTGTAAATTCCAAAATGAAAATATTTTCATTTGGTAATATCATGCTTTCATTTTAACTGAGAATGGTGAAATGAAAGATCTGGTTCTAGAGAAAAGCTAGTATTTCAGAGTCCTGAAATATCAGAATTTTCATGACATTTTTAAATACTTTGCTTCACTATTACATATGAAGAGTGAGCGGATGCTTCAACATTTCATACAAAAGGCATAAAAGGGTATGAAAATGGGAGGGGGAAAAGCAATATAGGAATTTATGAAACTTTCATAATTACTGCAGAGAAAAAGATAAACCAGGATGCAGCAAAAATCAAGTTACAAGCTTTAGAATTGTAACAGACCATAAAGAGAAGACAAAATTTACATTTTTATGTGAAACTATAAAGGAACCTGAGGTAGAGTGATATTCTGCAGCTAGTGAAAAAAGAAAATCATTTTAGGAGCCATGTTTTTAGGACAGTTTCTTTTTAGATGATCAATAGCTACACACAATGGAAGACTTCTAGATATACTTGGTAGCATTAATCAACCGAGAAATGTCCTTCCAAGAGCTGCAAGGTTTATAGTACAATCTTCTTATGATGATATTACAAGTCAGATTTAGACCACTTCATTTAGGTACCTTGGAAAACTAAGATGATTTGGTTTAATGGAAAGAAGCATATGCCTCTTAATATTTTGAGATGGGCGATCCTTTCCCTCTACATTATGCAGACAATGTCCTCTTTTCCTTCTATTGACTATAAAGAGCGTTTACGGACTCACTTCCAGAAGACTGGTTCATGGGGCATCTGAATTTTAATTGCAAATGAGGTACTTACAATGATGAATTAGATCATTCCCATTTTGTTTTAATATGAATTTAAATAACCAAATATATGTTTTAAAAAGATCTTAATTTTGTTTGCCCCTTTACTACACTGTATATGGAAATTAGAAAAACTTTAGTAAAAATTAAACTACAAAAGTGCAAATTAAAAGAAATGACCACCATCTCACAATCAATAAGTGAGCCATCTTCTGTGCTTCTCTTGTCAATGGATCCACAATAGCAACAACATCATAGAATGGTTCATTCTGTTGAGGATCTACTTTTACTACACTGTTTAAAAAAAAAAAAAAAAGTACATGAAAACTCCAAACTGAATTTGTGGAAATAGCAAACATTTTTAGGCACAAATTTGTAATACCAGAGGCACTTTAGATTTTACTGCTCATGAAGATGTTTTCCTCATTTCAAGTAGTAATCATCATTGCTCCCTGTGATATCACTAGGAAAGTTAAACATGAACAGCAATTAAAAATTTAGCATTAATCTACATAGTTCCATACTGGTTATTGATTAAATACATGACTCATAAGAAAATCAATAAAATAAAAGGAAAACACACAGCAAAATTTTAAAAATGACCTTTTTTTCACCAGTCTACAGTTTCCTGTACCAATATCTAGAATTATGAGATTTGACAAGTACCAGCGGTGACACAATTTTAAAAAAACAGTGGGGAAAATGGCAACTAGGAAGTGTGAAACTTGATAGGATGGATTAGCTTTATGCATTCCAGAAAATAATATAGTTTGATAAACTTGATTAGACTAAGTCAAGGAGACCCTAGTTAAAGTGCTCTGAACCTACAGGAAGGAAATGTTAGCAAACTTCACTTAAAAAAACCCCAAAAAACATGTGCTGTAAATACACAAAATGAACTATCTGAATTTGTTTACCACAAAGAATATACCTAGAAATGTGAGCACCATGAGTCAAACTCCCTCCAATATGGTAGTAGCATAGTCCTGACTGTTACTAGTGTAACTGTGGAGAAAGTGTTTAGCCACCTAAAACAGGCTACTACTGATTTGACTCCTTGTCTTTTCAACAACAGGGCCAACCCATTGGCACAGCACACTATAGCAGCTTTACCAATAAAAACAAGTAGAGATTTGGAAATAGCATTACAAAAATTTTTATTTTGATCATGGTTCTTGTGCTATCATATGTCCTTTTAAAAAATGTACCTGTCTTTGCTCCAGAAAGCTTGCCCCAGCTAAGTTTAAATTAATACCAGCTACTGTTAGTATCCCATTACAAAGACGACACGATTCACAGATGCACATCTTGGTATTTTAGGTCTCATTTATTAACAATGACAACAAAAGATGACGCTTGGGGCATATTCACTTTCTAAATCTAGGATCAGAAACACAAGGAACCAACATACAAGCAAATACACTAATGACACTAATAGATCTTGCCAAGTGAAAATCTGTCAGCTGATGACAGTCTGCTCAGTTTTTCTTAAGGAATTAGGTGCCAATAAGCCCTGTTAATTTGCATTTGAATGTAATCTAGTTGTATTAGCTGTGGTCAAGAATGACACTGCTAAGCCACCAACTGTTTGTTATACAGGTATAAGCATGTGTACATTAGCCTTGACAACAGTACTAAGATCCACAAACAGAAAAAATTGTGCTATAGCTTCCCATGTTACGGAAATTACTGGGGGTTTCTTTTAGCTCTAATCTGTGAAATCACTTCTAACATTTTAGTAAATGTAAAGATGCCAAGTTTTCTAACTCCAGATCACCATTTCTATTCATACCAATTGTAATGACTCTTTTTTCAGCAAAGGATAAGGCTGGAAAATCATTAAGCTTTACTAATTAATTTATTAAGATGCATTATGCTAGAGCACATGAACAAGTTGTTCATACAACCATAGAATCAACAACTTTTTTAAAAACTGGAATGCTTACTCAAGTTTCCAAAGACCTTATGTAGTAATCAGTACATTCTAATTTTAATATGAAAGTACTATAAGTGTACTATTATGACAGACAGAACTTACCTGTGCTGTTCTTTGAGTAATTGAGCATCTTGTCTCATCTCTGTTTTAGGCAAAGATGACAGTAGGGCATCTATTTTCATAATCAAATCACTGCCACTATATTAAATAAGACATATATAATTTGTTTTTCATTAGGAGTAAAACATTCACATTTTAATGTATAACTGTCTGCATAAGGGTTATTAATAAAGTCCACATCCTGAACTCCTTAAAAAGATTATCACCTTGAGATTTGTAGCTTTGAGTAAAACTTTTAGCATGATAATGCCCAAAACCAACTTCTGCCTTAAGAACTTGTGAACTCTACAATTCTTAAAATTAAGCAATGCGGAATTAGCAGAATTACCATTCAGCCTCACAGTTTGGGTGGTACAATCTGCTGATGTTTATAGCTCTTTATTACTTTTTTTGCTTTTTTTTTTCCTCTCTGACAACATCTAGGAACAGACATAAATGAACAAAGTTTCAAGTTTATTTGGCCACATCTTTTAATTTTTTTATTTCTTACTACAAATACCTTAGAAACTTTGGTAGTTCTATTTCAGTGTCACTAAGTCTTAATATTTGATCAAATATGTTTTGCCTCTCACTACTTATCTCCTTGATTTATCTCTTCTTGAGGGTTTTTTTTCTCTGGTAGTTGTTCTCTCGGTTGTGCCAGTCCTTCCAGATAACAGAAATGATAGGACATTCCATTCTACGATGGACATAGAAAGTCAATAGATTTTGTAAAAATAATATAATTTTTCTCACTTCTTTGTACATAAACTGGATCCTTAGATTAAAAGCTGGCTAGTACTCATCTTTACACTTCTTCAGTTAGCAGATGTGTGAATGTTGTCTAGCAGGGTGTCAGAGCACCACACCCGTCCATGCCTCTACAGGCTCCTTTTCTAATGATTCGCAAAGACAACGCACTTCCTTACTTCAAGTATCAATGCTCAGATATTACTGTGGTTTTGAGATGTACTGGATTTTATTACACTTACTATTATTCTTTATAATTACTGTCAAGTAAACAAAAGCTAGTAGAAATTGTTTAGTTAGCTGGACTTGTCTCTGTTGTAAGTTCAGTGGAAGTAGATAAAGTATTTGGAGTAATTTAGCAGAGCTGCACACACGTTATGAGGGAAGTTGGAGACAATATGATTCTTTGATAAGCAGTGATCTCTTGTGACCAGTGATAAAAGGGTGCCTATCTCTTGAATAACACAGGGTGCCTTTTTTTCTGCTCTGTGCTGTAACAATGAGGTACCAAAGAGGCTGTCAGCAGCAGGGTAAATGACACGTCCAGTTGAAAAACAGCATATAAAGTTTATATATATAGTAGAAACCTATGTTAAATGGAATAATTAGCCAAGCATAAATGTGATACAAAATTTAGCTATGTGCCACTTCTAGAAAATAGGGCAAGCATTTGAGTAGGTAAGTATATTAAGTCTGTCAGGGAAATGCTAAAAGTGAAATGAGGGACAGTTAAACCTGTCTACGTGGAAGTACTCAGATGCTAAGTAAGTGCATTGCAAATATACAGCACGCAAACAACTAGCACTTTAAGTGCATGTAGAGTGTATATATATATGAGTATATAGTATGAAGAGTACTATGACTATATATTTGAACCTCTGTTCATATTTCCCATGCAAAAGGATTATTAATTTGTCACAGGCAATAAACAAGGCAGTATATCACAGAACCTCAAAATGCAAAAGAATTTTACCTTTTACTACTGTTTCCCATCTCTTTGACAATAGCTTTAATCTTCTCTGCTGAGGTACTGTATGTTATTTTTTCCAACAAATTGAAGTCTTCTGCATAGAATTCATTTTCATCTAAAGGACCCAGTACCTTAGGAAGAGAAAAAATGTTACTAAGTGCAGAATGTCCCAATAATGTTTCTTCTGTAAGCAAAAATATACTAATATTTTAAATGAATGCACAATATTCAATATGCAACCCCCAGCCCTATATGCATCAATATTATTAACTGTATAGTACTAAACTGTATAGTAACTATGTAGGATTACATTTTTACAGTTATGTAATTACAGTTAATTATCAATCTCAAAGAACAGCTGCAATAGAAATATCCATTACATTTTTCATTATACATACCTATGTAAAGGAGTACACTATTTAGAAATAACAAATCTAAGTTTAAGAAAAAGCTCTGTTAGGGACATTATTTTAAATTGAAATTCAAATTACTATCTGCCTACTACTCTAGTTGTTTAATTCTGTGAAGACAATCTTAACTTCTCAAGCATTCTCAGATGAAGCAGAGTGGATAGAAAGGAAGGCAACAGCAAAGGATAAGAAATGCAGAATATCCAGAGACAAGAAATAGAACTACTATTTTTTTTTTGGTGTCTGAAGGAAAAGAAGGTGCCTTGAAGCCCCAGAAAATAGCTTTGAGGATGTTGTTTGGATTTCCTACTCATAGTCTACCAGGCTAAACTGACCCAAGTCAACTTGAAGAGCCTACAGGGTTCCCAGGACGTAGAATGCCATGATGTAAGTTCGGTGCTGAATACCTCTCTCTCAAAATTCAACTGCTTCCTAGAAATGACAGGTTATCTAGCAAAATTTCACTTTTGAATTTTTCATTAATATTAATGATGCATGAGAAAGAGAAAACCAGAGCATGATTATGTAATACCATGCTACTTTTGTAGAAGTCATAATAATAATGATAATAATGATGATAATAATAATGACAATAATAATAATAATAAAAGATTTGCTCATAAAAACAAAACTTCAGTGCTGAAATAGCACGGATAGAAGTTAAGGATATCCGATGTCTTTTTAAAAAAGTAATCTCTTAAAGTGAAAATACGCTTCCAGATAGATGAGTATTATCATATTCATATATCATTATCAAACTTAGATAAGTATTTTTAGGAAACATATTTCCTCAAACCTTAAAATATTACATTATTTGAGCTTTTTTAGGCATGGAAAACAGTAATAACCATTTATAAAATAACACTGCATAATTAATTTGGGAGGGGGAGGCAACACAAAAAGCCAACACAATTCTTTTGTGCTTCATCAATGAAAACCCTTTCTGTGGGCTTGTTAGTGGTATTTCAGTTGTATCTCAGGAGACATTTAGGATGTACAAGAGTAACTAAGAACACAATTCAAAGAGAGTTTCCAGTAATGAGATGCCAACATAGTATCTCTGTTTCTTTCTAATGGTGGAGCAATAAATAGAAAATGGAAAAGAGTTAACTAAAAGACTAGTTTGTATAAATTGTATTTATAATATAAAGTATTAACTGTCATTAACAAGTACTAAATATTGAACCCAATATTGTATTTTTTAGTCACAGTTCATCCATAGCCACACTGTAATTAAAGCTATTGGTTTCAGAATATACATACAAGAAATTGAAACAACAAAACTACTATACTTTTATTTGAACATTAAGAATTAAGACTTTAGAACAATATAATGTTTATAAACAATTTGGGGTTTTAGGGCTTGAAATACTACCCTAGTGAATGTCATTTATTTTTTATTATATATGCAGTAGTTTATCCTGTCCCAACTGTTTAAAATATAGGTAACTTTAGGATCAAAATTTATTCTTGAATTTCATTAATAATACATCAAATATCAACCTATTTAGAGAATTTTGTTAGATTAACTCTTAAATAGCTGTGAAAATGACCTAAGTGCATAGTAGCTTCAATGGAATGGAGCTAATATGGTGGGGGACTGTTTATCAGGGAGTGTAGTGATAGGACAAGGGGTAATGGCCTTAAGCTGAAGGAGGGTCGATTTATATTAGATGTTAGAAAGAAATTCTTCCCTGTGAGGGTGGTGAGGTACTGGAACAGGTTGCCCAGAGAAGCTGTGGATGCCCCCTCCCTGGCAGTGTTCAAGGCCAGGTTGGATGGGGCTTTGGGCAACACGGTCTAGAGGAGGGTGTCCCTGCCCATGGCAGGGGGGTTGGAAGTAGATGACCTTTGAGGTTCCTTCCAACCCAACCCATTCTATGATTCTATGATAATAAACAAATTAGGAGTAAAACAAAATAAAAAACAAGACAAACATTCATAGAATTATCTAACAACAAGCTGAATAAGTGGAAAATCAATATAATGCATTTTCTTTAGCTCAAAACTGAAGTTCCAGGAAGTAAAAATTACCTACAAAAAGATTAAGAGATGACTTAATTTCTTTCTTACCCTGCCATTGCTCATAACTGCCATTTGCCCAGGAAGCAGCTTAAGAACCTCCTGGCAGAACATCTGGTGGGTTTTAATTATATCCAGTCCTAACGTGTTGTATTTCTTCTCAAAAGCATCATCATCCATTCCCTAAAGCAAAGATAAAGTGTGAGACCATAGAATGATTAAGCAAAAATAAATTTTGGAACACCAGAAATCAAAATAAAGCAGCAACCTCAGCTTCAATGTAAGTTATATAACTATTTGTGTGGAGCCATGGTCTCCCGACTAGACAGTGTGCAGCTTTTACCCTTGGGTAACTGTGAATAACCATGAGAGGAAAGCTGACCTTGAGGTTAAACACTTTTTCTAAGATCCAGCATAAAGTTGCATGAAAAATAACATATTTGCTTAATAACTGAACTGTATTCTCACCTTTAGGAAGAAGGTATTAAAAAAATTTGTATTACTCTAAAAACCTAACAGTAATTTTAACATGGTCATTTGATACAGCTTAAACAAGTTTTGGGGAAGCCAACATCATCTAGTAAAACACAAATCAATGTTCAATCAATGGGAAAAAAATCTGGAACTTTGCCATGCTTAGAATGGCACTGTTAAAATTATCCTGCTATATTAAACTCTACTGATATATATTTCTTCATTAGAAACATACAGATTAAACAAAAAGATTAATTCAGATTCAATTAATATAACAAAATAAATCAGTAACTTGCATACACTGCTGAATTAGCTACCTCTGTGTCTTTCAAAATGTATTAGACAATGAAATAAGAGCATGACCCAAACCAGCTAATTAATTTTCTAATATGGTGCCAGAGAGTTCTCTTAGTCTTTCAAATCTCCTATTTAAAAATACTACAGTTTACGGCTCCTTCTGAAACAAAACCTGTAGTTTGCAGCTGTTATTTGGTAACTCAGCTCTACTCTATGTGCAGACTTTGAAATCAGCAACATTTGTATTTTAAACCAAGGAATTTTCATAAAGCACACCAGAAAATGTTGGCCAGAAGTATACAATGCTTGTTAACCTCAACTGCTTCAGTCTGTGCCTATTACTGCTCACAACCAGAACAGCAAGGTAGAAACAGTTACTTCTGAAGTCTTAACTCTTTACAAACACTACTACTGTAATTTTAATTGAGAGAGCTTTAAAAAAATCCAAACAATTAAAAATTAAACTATTTTTATCTCAATAATCCAGTAGCCGTACTCTGTATTTTTCAGTACTTTTCTTGTACTTTCTTCCTTTACTTTAGATAAATTCTCTATTGTTCATCACATAAAAGTTGTCAAAAATCAAAATGTTCTTGAGCAGAAACTGTATAAGGGTTATGAACTTCATAGCATTTGGCCAAACATTGTTACTTTCAACAACATCTCTTTTCAATAAAACATATGTAAAATGGAAAAGAAAGTAGTCTAATTCAGTTTGCACTCACTGGGATGAGGAATTTAGCAATTTTAGTTCCAGCAGCAAGGGATTTTGCTGTCTCTTCCTTAGTGAGTTTACTTAGGAAACTTTTTAAGCTGCTGTTGTTTTGAGTTAGAAAAGCGGTCAAAATTCCTCTTGCAATGGCTGTGTTATCTTCCTTCATTTTTGATGAAGGATTGTTCAAAATCCCAACTCGTGTATGACTGCTTGTTTTCTGCAAAGAGAAACACAGAATAATACACAATTTTACAGTTCCATCTGCTGTTACCTAATGTATTCATATCTATTATAACTCTGTGAAATGCTCTGAAGTATTTAATTTTTTGCAGCTACTTGCCTTTAGAAAACATACCTCAATGCCTAATTCAGAACTTCAACTAGGATTAAAAATGTTACTAGTAAGGATTTACCTATTCTGTAAAACATATTTGAAACTGAAGATTTTGTTAAACATAAAAAATTAAATAGAAAAATCCTGTATTCTGTAGAAGTGTATTTTTAACTGAGGACACACACCAGTATTCATTTACAGACTTCAGAACTGGTTTTGTAGATGTTTTTCTATTTTTCAAAAACTATCGAACTAAGCATAAAGTAAATACAAGAAAATTTATCCACTTATCACTTTAATCTTAATCAGCAAGAAAATCTTTCACTTGCTAAAGTCTGTGATACCACTTAAATTTCACTAGAGAGTGATGATTCTGAGGTAGGATCAAACAGTGTCACTAACTGAAGAAAAGGTAAATGGACTCTATTGCTGTAAAGAATACAAAAATAAGGGAGGAAATCACTGGTATTCAACATATTTAAACAGCAAACTTTAAATTGCAGCCCTTGAGAAAAGTTTTGTTAAAACACCTATTTGAAAAGCTTGAAAATGTGTACTTTAACTGTTCCTGAGAAGCATGCTCTCACTAGAAAGAAGACAAGCAGTATACTAAGCTACATCAGGAGACACATGACAAGCCGATCAAGAGAAGTTCTTATTCTCCTCTACTCAGTATTTGTGAAGCTGCACTTGGACGGCTGTGCCTGGTTTTGGTCTCCCCAGTGCAATAAAGATGTTGAGATGCTGGACAGGTTTCAGCAAAGGGCTACCAAGATGCTCAGAGGCCTATGAGGAGGAATTGAAGAAGCTAGGCTTGCTCACTCCAGCAAAGAGGAAGCTATGGAGAACCCTAATAGCAACCGACAACTGCTGAAGGGGGAGCAAAAAAGACAGCTCTTCTTGGTAGTGGCAAACAGTGTAACAAGGGGTAATGGCCACAAATTCTGGCTTGGCAGACATTAGGAAAAACTATGCTAGGAAAGCAGTGCAACACTGAGCAAATTCTCAAGGGAGGGGATGGAGTCACCTCCTTGGAGGCTTTCAGGACTCCTTCAGGCAAAGCTACAGCTGATCTGATCTAATGGTGGCAATAGTTCTGCTCTGAGTGGGAGGCTGAACTAGATGACATACAGAAATTCAGCCAAGACATCTCTACTTTTTTCAAATGATGTTAAAATACAATAGTAGATTTCAAAATAATATATAACATATTAGCTAGAATATTTAAAAGTGAATTCCCTATAAGCAACTTCCCCTCCCAGACTCTTGCACACTTTTCTTCAAATGCCACTGGCAAGTCCTGTGCAAGAGGTGTCTGTGCCAGTTTGCACCTGTCAGAAATTCTACAAGATCCTGGCCCAACTGACAAAAGAGACCGGAAAGGAGTAGTGAATCTCTATGCCAACCAATGGACTTTTAAAAAATACTACGTTTTTGTCACCTTGGACTCTGGTAACCCAAAAAAGCAGGACTCTGCTTCAGTCCCCACCCTCAGGCATTACAACCAAAACCAGATATGAAGCTTTAACAGCTGTAGACATCCATGAGCAAGGTGTGCAAGGAGAAATTATACCAGCAGCACACACTGGATACCACAAGAGGAAATGACAAGTGCTCATAGTGGGTGATTCTCTGTTAAGGGGCACCGAGGCGCCCATCTGCCGCCCTGACAGGTTGTCATCAGAGGTATGTTGCCTTCTGGAAACAGGTTGCCCAGAGAGGTGACAGATGCCCCGTCCCTGGAAACATGAGGCCAGGTTGGATGTGGCTTTGGACAACCTGGTCTAGTGGAGGGTGTCCCGCTCATGGCAGGGGGGTTGGAGCTAGATGATCTTTGAGGTTCCTTCCAACCCAACCCAAACGATTCTATGATTCTAAGATCCGGGAGGGTGCCATAACTTATCAAGAGCACAGACTATTGTCCATTGCTGCTCTTTCATGTAGGCACAAATGATACCACAAGCTGGAACTTGGGCAAAATCAAGGAAGATGACAAAGACCTGAAGGTGTAAGTGAAAAGTATTGGTGCCCAAGTTTTCTTTTCTTCCATTTTACCAGTTAGAGGAAAGGGGGCAGCCAGAAATAGACGTATAACGCAAATCAACTTCTGGCTTTGTGGCTGGCGATGTCATAAGGGTTTCCATTCTTATGACAATGGGACATTTTTCGATGACTATAGCCTGTTAGGGAGGGATTGGATTCACCTGTCTAGAAGAGGCAAGGGTAGCAGGTGGAGCAAAGGACCCCCTTGGCTTAACTGCCAGCTTCTGAGTCTGCTCAAAACCAAAACAGAAGCGTACCAGAGATGGAAAAGCGAACCAATACCTGTTGAGAACTACAAGGGCATTGCCAGGGTGTGCAGAGATGCAGTTAGAAAAGCAAAAGCTCAGCTCAACGTGAAATTGGGCAGAGATGTCAAAAACTACAAGAAAGGGTTCTTCAGGTATGTAAACAACAAGCAGAAAGAGAAGGAAAATACTGGGCCACTGTTAAACAGGAGAGGTGAATTAGTCACCAACAATGCTGAAAAGGCAGAGGTTCTCAACACTTTCTTCACCTCTGTCTTTAGCAGCACTGTTGGGCCCCAGGCCTTGGGAACAAAAAATCCAGGTTGATGCAAACACAGACCCACCATCAGTGAAGGAAGAGCTGGTATGTGAACCAGGAGTGTGGCTACAAAGGAGATGGAGACTCCCTTTTTACAAGGAGTCACACGGGAAAGATAAGGGCTAATGGGTACAAGTTACTCCTGGGGAGATTCCGATTGGACACACGAGGACAATTTTTCACAATGAGAACGATCAGCCATTGGAATAATCTCCCCAGGAAAGTGGTGGATTCCCCAATAGTGGACACTTTCAAGATTCGGCTGGACAGGGTGCTGGGCCATCTTGTCTAGATTGTGCTTTTGCAAAGAAAGGTTGGACCAGATGATCCTTGAGGTCCCTTCCAACCTGGTATTCTATGAATCTATGATTTTAATAAGAACTTCTAGAAACTCACCAGGTGTTTCAAGGCATTAGAAAGCAGTCGTCTCCCAGCTGGTTTATCAAAGTCAGCAATAATCCAGATAGTAACAGCATATAATGCATCTTCATCTGAAAATTAAAGATAATCCTGCTTTACATTCTGGAGAATCTTCTCACAAATAATGAATAATGAATTAATTCTGTTTGAGATTTTGAAGTTTACGTGTATGTTTGCTGACTTCAACTGTAAGACTAATCTTTGCCACATCAGAAACCTTTGCCTTCTGAATTGAAATAAAATTCTTAGGAGATACTTCATCATGTTAATATGACAGAGTCATTAAATAGCTAATCTATTGTTGTACCTCTGAAACAAGATGGCCCTAAATAATAATCTAGCTCCAAATAACAAGACCTGCTTTACCAGAGGTGTCTTGTGAACATTTGAAGGAGGCTGGTCATACAGCCAGACATGAAAAGAATTAAGTAATTACAAGAACGAGTTAGGCCATTCACTTTCCCTGGCAGCAGAGTTCTTCAACTAAAGGCAGGACAAAACTTACCATTTGTCGATATAAACAGGAATATACTAAATACAAATGCAAAGAAAGTAAAGTATCAAATAGGTATATACACAGAAATTTTCCCTTTTGCTTGGTCTATAGCCTCCTGTTCTTTATTCTTTATGGAAGGGCAATGGCACATGAAAAATTCTGCAAAATTATCTGCGGAAGAATATCAGTCCACTCAGGTTTATCATATATCCCCTAAAACTAATAGGTATACATGGGAATTTTACAAGGTTCCGGTGAGATTCTAGGAAAAGCTTATTCTTAACAGCTGTTGCAGTCTAGAGAAACACAGTGGGGACAGATATTTGAAATGTAGATTCTAGCTTAAAGGTTATGGATTTTACACAAGAGATCTGAATCTTAAAAATGAGCCTACAGATTGAAAACCAGTCATCATTTGACAACTAGCGGGGATGTCTCTGTGGTTGTAGACAGAGAATCAAATAGAATCAAGTAATTTTTTTCTAAAGACATGTAAGTATATGGCATTTCTTTCTGATAATGGAATAAGTAAAAACTATGTTAACACCACATGATAATTACTGAAAGAATAGCACTTTGTTAATAGGATTATTCTGTCCCTTGATGGACTGATGTAAATAAGCAGTTAACAGTCTACTCCCAGAAGTTAACAAGGTACAGACCATTGCAAAATTCCATGCACTATTACGCCCCCACTGCTGTAATTATAATTTCTTCTAACTCCAGGGGAAAGTACTTGCACATGCAATAAGAATATTTTACATCAAAAAATACTTTAAATGTACAAAAAAGTGTGAGTTTTAGCAAGATAAAATGTATAAATGAGTGATAATCCATCAGAATATATGTATTTTTTCTTTTCTACAGAAAGACAAAGCTTCAGCTATCAAAATTAAACAATCTAATTAGGGGAAAAATAAAGACATACTGAATGCTAATAAATAAGAACTAAAATAAATTTTTCCTTAAATTGTAGAAACACCTAATTTTGATATAGATATGACAAAGACTATACATTCTTCACTTGATAATTCTCCAACTAAGAGTCACTTGAAAACTGAATACACTCGTTTTAATATCCTCAAGTAAAACCATGTTAGTATGAAAACTGAATCTGTTTTGGAAGCTGCAAAAGTCTTGCAAAGCTTTTTAACTTCATGTCTGTGAACCAAAAAACAACTAGCCATGACATCCATCCCATTTCAAAACTTTAAAATCTAAAATTACTATTGTTATTATAATTTATGCCTATAATATTACGATACAATCTGGCTCCTGAAAGAAGATACTGGGATACTGGGAAATGTGTTTATTTATATGGGATCCTAAGGATACTTATTTAATTGGGATATTTTACTGGCAAATTTCAATGATTTTTAATACATATATATATATATATAAGCGCCATATAGAATACATACATATATATATATATATATAAGCGCCATATAGAAATTCATATACCCTTTCTTGTTAAATACATCATGTTGTCTGAAATTACAGCACTTTTATCCTGTGAGTCCAAAAATGAGAAAGTAGAGAAGTCTTCCACATCAAATGGAACTGCAAAATGTAAAACACAACATGTTAGACTTAAAAAAGGAAAATCATAGCAACAGCCAATCCGAGAAAAGTAGTTACCAGATGTGGGTCTGAAATGTATGTATCTTCTTTCTGCTCCAAGAATAGTGGGATTTATACGGGAAACTACATTGTGCTGATCCATAAGAAAATCTATTGCATTTATATGATCATTTAACAAACCCTGTAGTAAGAGAAAAGAAACTATGAAAGTACAGATTTAATTGAAGACAAAGACCAAGTAATTGTACAATCTTTCAATTAAGCTTAATGCTTCTATATACACCAAATTATGGACAATATCAAGTAAAAAATGTATAAATATCACACAGATAGTATTTCAAAATACCAGATACATATTTTTCAATGAACAACTCAGTACATTCTCAGTTTCCGGTTGAAAAATTCCATGATTACTGCATGCTTAGTTGAACCTTCAATCTTGTATAATCTAAATATTCTGTTTCAAAACCATGACTGCAAATTAATGTAACAATGTAATTTCAGTTGTCATGTTATTAATTACAAGCCATCTCATTATAAAAAATTGAATATATAAACATGACTCAAACAACCCACTGCCAAATATTTCACCTTGCGTTCATTCAGAAATGCTAAACATACCATGAACACTGCCCTCTGGAAGAAGCCGGTGGCATCAATAATCCTCTGAAGAATAACTGTCTCTAACTCTGCAGCATCCATCTCTTCTCTGTTAAAGGGCACGCCATTAAACAGAGCTTGAGGCAGTGGACCCAGGCCAGTCTTTTTATAAAAGGTTGCTCCTGCCTGATCATATCAGAAATATCACAGGATTAAATAGACTGTGGCTGACTGTAGCAAAAAAATGAAACTAATATCAAGAGACAATGAACTCTAATCTCCAAGCACTATTCACTGTCACACCTTCTCATGAGTAGCAGGGACAAAAGAGGAAATATTTGGAAACCAAAGAGGACAAATGGGACTCATTTCTCAAATGGAATGACAAAAGAAATGATAGATCTATATATGGTGCTTTAAACTTCTGCTTTATCATCTTGCTGAGAAACAGTTTATTTTGCTTAATATTCTTAGCAAAAATATTAAGTAAGTAACATTGGAGAAGGACCTTGAGACAGTCGTAGTTTGAGGTGGATCAACCTAGACCTTTTCCCCAAAGACAGCACCCCCAAAACCCTCACAAGGCTTTTATGTTCAAAAACCAAGCCTTATTTGATAAGACAGCAGAACAGGCTAATTTTTCCCAAACAGAGAAAATTCAGCGAGACAAACAGAAATAAAAATATACTGTAAGTAGTTCCCCCTTCCTATTCTGTAACCTTTCATGTTTTCTTTCAGTGTCACTTTCTGGATGGCTACAAACTCTATGGCAGTATCTATGTGTCCATCTTTCTGTCACCCCACTGTCTCCTCCCTGATCTTCATCACAGTCTCACAGTCCCTGCTCATACAGGGGGCTTCCTCCTGGTGAGTCTCCATCTGGTTTTCTTCCTTTAATATTCTCTGTGGGAAGCTTTCCTTCCCTAAGTGTATCCAGCTGTTTCCAGGGCAGGTTCAAATGGCCCTTCTATATAAAGCCTCTGTGCGACTCAGTGAGGAACAAGCAACATAAGGCAAACAGCACCTTTTTTTCTGGCTGTCCAGATGAACCTTTTTAAAGGAACGTAATATGCGTTATGTAACAGATTTTAAAAGGAAATAAATAAAATAGATGGCATGTGTCAGAAACACAAGACTGTATGGATGGCATGGCTGAAGACACATGAAAGAAAATATATATTTTTTAATATATATTTTAGCAGAAAATCATCTACATAATCATAGAATCATAGAATGGTTTGGGTTGGAAGGGACCTTAAAGATCATTTAGTTCCAACCCCCCTGCCATGGGCAGGGACACCCTCCACTAGACCACGCTGCCCAAAGCCCCATCCAACCTGGCCTTGAACACTTCCAGGGAGGGGCCATCCACAACCCCTCTGGGCAACCTGTTCCAGTGCCTCACCCCCCTCACAGAAAATAATTTCTTTCTAACATCTAATCTACATCGACACTCATTCAGATTAAACTCATTACCCCTTGTCCTGTCACTACACTCCCGGATAAACAGTCCCTCTCCAGCTTTCCTGTAGGCCCCCTTCAGAAACTGGTAAGCTGCAATTAGATCTCCCCGGAGCCACCTTTTCTCCAGGCTGAACAACCCCAACTCTCTCAGCCTGTCCTCATAGGAGAGGTGCTCCAGCCCTCTGATCAGCTTCATGGCCCTCCTCTGGACTCGCTCCAACAGCTCCATGTCTCTCCTGTACTGGGGCCCCCAGCCTTCAAATCAAAATCCATAGCTGTCTTTCCCAAAGGAAATTATAACCAGAAAGCACAATTAAAGGAAACAATGATTCGCCTGGAAGACAGGCTTCAGCTCCTCATCCAGAAGACACAGGTAAACAATTTCTGTAGTGAGAGACCCCCAAACATACTTGCTAGAAAAACACTTGTGCTCCTGAAAGCAGCTGGCAATAGTAAATTTTAATAGTGAGAGTAGCAAGGCAGAAACCCTTTCAACATTTCTGCTAATGCCTGAATGGTGGCTGAAGAAAAATTTAACTCAAAGATACTGTATTTACATGCTTTAACATTTAGCAATCTTTCAGCTTAGCAAATGTGTCCTGCAACATTTCTCACCACTTTGCTGTCAACATACCTTCCTCCCTTCATCGTATTCAGAATGAACACCTAGTATACTCTGAACATCAGCATGGGGGTATTCACTCCTAAGAACATCTTTCACATGATTTACTGTTAGAACATTTCCATCTTTCACTTCATGGTACATCTGTAAAAATTGTAACAGAAAAGTAATATGTAATAATTTTTCAATCATAATTTAATAAAATGAATAAAAATAAACAATAAATATATTTTTATAGTGCCACTATAATTTTTACATCAGTATACTGTTATATTGCTTTTATTGCTATATTGCAGTTTTTATAGATCTTTAGTAATTATCACCATCACACATGTGCAGTTTTTCATCAGAGCACTGTTCTGATTAATCTATTTTTATACCTTTAGTTCAAATCTGAAGTGGCAAAGTAAACACACTTATGTGAGCTGAATGTGAAAGGTTATTTCTATCCACTGATTAGAGAAGGAATCTAAATTCTTACTATAAACTACCTAACCATGGGTAGTTACCTGAATCTATATGGGATGAATTCAAGCCTGAATTAGTCAGTGATAGTTTTTCCTACAGTGACAATTTTTCCTTACCAGTGCTATTTTATTTCATAGCATAAGATTTTATTACTTTCATCAAACATACAAAAGAAATTTGAATTGAAAATTATTCAATTATTTTCTTTTCAAATGAGGAACAGCACATTTCTCTCTATAGCACTGAGTATCTCAAACCTGTATTTTACTGATTCGATTTTTTGTTATCTTTTAATTATATTTATCATCCTCTCCTTTTTATATTAAGAAATAAAGTAAATAGAGGAACACAACGTTTTAAAAAGTACACTGTAAATTGATATTTTGTGATCTGGTTGTGCACAATAGTCACACATGCGTTTCAGCTCCTAACACTTGTGGATTTCTATTTCTCTTCCAAGGTACTCCTAGTAACTTCAATTCCTTTCATCTTAAGCTCTCTGAGTTTGTACATGACATTAGTTTCTAGGCACTGAACAGAATAATAGAGAACAAAAGTAAGAAAAAATGTTATGTATTAATACCATATTCTCGGATATAATTTTGCCTGCAGAGTCTTCACATAGACTGCTCACTTTATTTCCCTCCATTTGTCTCTTGTCTCTGAAATTCCTGTCTTTACATGAACCTGCATTTTTTCACACAGAAAACCTGTCTCATTCGTTAAGCTGCAAGCTTTGAATATTCCTGTTTTCTACATCCACGAACAGCTCAAATGTGACCAAAAAAGGACTTAATCTTACTCTGTTTCACTTTCTACACTAGAGAACAACCAAGAGTTTTTCAAAGCTTATAGGACTGCCAAAGTGATATTAAAATGCCTGTACTCCAAGAGATACAGAACACAAAGGCAGGCACATCGCATCAATGCAAATAATACAGAATCATTTTTCACAAGAAAATACTGAAAGCTGTAAAGTATGCATCTACCTTTTTACATTCTTGAAGAAAGCATGTAGATAGGTAAAATGACAAGAACCAGTTGGTTTCTGGAGGAGGAAAATATTTCTGCAAATCATTCTATAGCATATTAATGCTATGTGAGTTTTTAAGGATTTGCTTCCATGTAAAGTAAATGCAAATGAATCATGTTGTCACAAGGTAGCAAAATCCTAACTATATAGAAAAGTAGTAAGTTAAAAAAAAAAAAGAAAAAGAAAAAAGAAGTGATTTCTTGTGAAAGAACTAACATTCATTATCGAGGTAAAGGCTTGAGAGGTGTCAGATTCCTCAGCAACGTAATTAAAAGTTCTCCAAAGAGCTATTCCTGCGTCCTCATTTCCATCGATTTCTTCTTTGGTACTTAAAATGAAAACAAATCCAATTCTATAAAAAAAAAAGAAGAGATCATACATTTTAAAACAATATCAGTTTCAGACACATTCTAATACCAACAGAGAAGAACAAGATGTTTGCATTCAAGTAATCTGTCCAGCATGTAGGCACAAAAAGCTGACAGTAATTAAGATTTCTGGGAGTCATTAGGATTTACTTACCGCCCCTTCTTTCCTTATCTGATCATAAGTAATGACAATGACATTGTTTACATTCCTGTCATAATCTCTTAACTTTGAGTCTACGTTTTAGTCTGAGCATAATCTGTCTTTTATTTTTCCTGAAATGGGTGTGTTTACTAGCTGCACGTAGACATGCTGGGGTCTTGATGCCCTGTCATCAATACATGCCATTCTTACTAGCCCTTCTCTTGCCTTATTTACCTTCTGGGGCTTCCCCACCCTCCCATTCCCATTCATTCTCCATTCACAGCAATTTTAACACATCGACTACAATTCCCTACATTTCCATTAAATGAAAAAACCCTTAGAAATACGAGGCTTGAGAGGAAAAAACCCCAAGAAATCTTATAGTGGAGGTGGTATTTTGATAGTGTTCTCATGAAAGAAACCTGGATTGATTGGGCCATACCACCTTTACAGCATGAAGTGTAACAGAGATTCGGTGTTCTACAGTAGCAGGAGAAATTCAAACCTAACAGCCACTTGCTTGTCTATACAAAGCATTTTGATTAAATTGAGCACCATCATTTGCACATGTAACTCATGAAGATGTCACCGAAAGGTTTGGCAAACACTCCAGAAAGCTCAAAAGTCCAAGATACTGATGTGAACATCCTGTTTCTCCAGAGAACAAAGGCTTTGAGCCATGAGACAATCTGGTCAAACAGACTGCAAATAATAACACAATGACTAAAGCACAAAGTCTTTCACAGACTGAAGACCCAGGAGAGTTAAAACTGAAGATATTTGAATTTATATTCCCTGCTGAGAACACATAAGGATCTTTCTGGTCTCTACTACACTACTTGAAAGGACTTCTGATCATTACAGTCAGCTCCATCTTAGCTGGTATAAGAAAAGGACAAGAAAGAGCCTTCTGTCGAGGATCTTTGGGACCAGCAAATTGACCTGGGCCAGAAAACATTAGGCCAGTTCCTGACAGTGAGAGGAAGGAAAGAGAGTAGACAAGTTCCATCTTCTCACAATCAATAGATAAGGAGGAGCAAGAAAGAATTTTCCTTTTCAAAGGAAAATTTTCCAGTCACAAGTGACAGAGCATGTGTACACCCATAGCAAGAACAGACAGATTCCCAAGAGGAGAAATAAAAGCCTTTTCATGAACACAGTTGCCTGCATTAAGAGATGAAGGCTAGGAAGGTGGATTCTGCCAGCCACCTGGAATTTTGTGAGCACAAAGCCATCAGAACCCTTCTAATGATTTCCAAGCCTTCCACTGTCTCTTTTCAATAAATTTTCTTAGAAGGATACCCTCCCCTCCACCCCTGTACTTCAACATTAAGCCTGCTTGTACAACAGGGGAGAGAAGATGGCCAAACCCAGATATTTATATGAATCAGAAATGGAGATTTTATGTGAATACTCTGCTGTTACAGCAGTTTAGGGATCAACTTCACATAGTTTTCCAGAAGGCATCCTTCAATCATCCTGAATATGTGCAGCTAACGCTATTCCTACTAGGTCTGCAGCAAAATCCTCTACCATTAGCTGTCACTTCTCCCAAGACAAACCCAATAGTGCACAAAAAAACCTGCTCCGTGAAAAATCCCTATGGAAGCAGCTATTCAACTTTGTTCTCCTTTACATTTACTTTTTAGCAAACCTACTGGTAGGGATGTCTCCGGCTGCCAAACTGCAACCCAAACCACTTAATAACGTGCTAACTGGCTTACAGAATTGCAGCCATCTATGAAATACAGCTGTATAAGCTGCTGGCTATTCCTGACTACGCATGTTCTATACGCAGCAGTCGGCTGAAAGCTTGAAAATTATGCCAACTATCAAAAAGAGGCGAATTGTAAGACAGAACAAGGGAATCATAGTCTTTCTAAAGGAGTATCCCAGAGACTCAAAGCTGTCTTCTGCTATACGAAACACTGTGCATCTTGCAAATTTTCCACAAAGCGTACAGCTCCATCATAGCTGCTACAAGAACAGGAGACCCCCACTGATCTCATGATACATGAGAGTAACTGCAGCAACACAACAACCTGCAATGCTGAGCTTATGTTTCAGAAGACCTTCATACTTACAAATGATAATTAAATGAGCTGATTTAGGAAGTCAGTTTTTCATTTGGATAGCCACTGCACATCAAATATTTTAAAATGATTAAAACAGAATCTATCGTATCAGTATAAAATTGTTTAGATAGCTGTTCAGGATATAATCAGGTGTGCATCAGACCAAAGGACAGAGAAAAGTAAGAAATATAGCAAGTTTTGTAAAAAGATATAAAGAATAATTAATGCATAAAGATGCACCATGTTGTACAATTAATTGCTTCTCCTATTTTTTACATCCCTCATTACTGTAAATAACTTTTCCTAAAGTCTTGTGTCATCTGGGTACCACAGGAACAGTCAGCAAAGCAACATGTTATATGACAGTATAGACTCCATGATTTGTCCGTATCTTGAATACTGTGTACATGGCTGTTGCTCTCATCTCAGAGAAGTTGTATTAAAACTAAGAAAGTTCAGAGAAGGACAACTCAGACAACAAAACAACCTTTGGAACAGCTTTCAGGCAGGGAATAACTAGTAACCTAGGGAAAG